TACTTTAGAGTAGGGTCTAACCCAGCACAATACCAGAAGTTTGTGTACCATTGGCACAGTTCATTCAGCACCTCTTGTATTCCTTCCCTTCCCTTCCCTGGCTTGCTTTATTTTTCATAAAATGTACTTCATATATTTGGTGATGGTTATTTTCAGTGTCATATTTTACAACTTGCTGATTCTGATTGTTTTGCTTGTGTGTCCACAATAATGAATCCCAGGGAACACATTTTCCTGGTTAACTTAATAATGTATGCTTATTTCATATAAATGAGTTGTCATAGGAGGTGGCACATTGGCTCAGTCATTAGCACTGTCGCCTTACAGCAAGAAGGTCGCCGGTAGGTGCCAGCTGGGCCATTTCTGTTTGGAGCTTGTATATTCACCCTGTGTTGGTGTGGGTTTCCTCCCAGTGCTCAAGTTTCCCCCACAGTCCAAAGAAATGCGGTACAGGTGAATTCATTCATTCATTTTCTTTTCGGCTTAGTCCCTCTATTATAGTGCACCCGCCATAGTGTAATGAAACTTTTGTTTTATGCAGCGGATGCCCTTTCAGCTGCAACCCATCTCTGGGAAACATCCATACACACTCATTCACACTGACACACTATGGACAATTTAGCCTACCCAAATCAAATGTCTTTGGAGTGTGGGGAAAACTGGAGCACCCAGAGGAAACCCTTGCAAATGCAGGGAGAACATGCAAACTCCACACAAAAACACGAACTGACCCAGCTGAGGCTTGAACCAACAATCATCTTGCTGTGAGGCGACAGCACTACCTACTGCGCCACTACGTCGCCACAGGTGAATTGAATAAACTAAATTGTCTGTAGTGTATGTGTGCGTGTAAGAATATGTGTGTATGGGTGTTTCCCAGTGTCGGATTGCGGCTGGAAGGGTATCCACTGCATATGACATATGGTGGATTAGTTGGCGAAATCTAAAATAATGACTAAGCCAAAAAAAAAAAGAAAAAAATGAATGAATGAATGTATGAATGAAGTTATCATAGGTGATTGCCCTCATTTTTTGCCATTTTAATGACATAACTTTTTCATAATTATTCATTCTATGATCAACACAATAAAAACATACGTTTAATCACAGCATCCAGTTGTGGATTCTGTTGAATTCAGAGATCTTTAGTAAATACAACCAGGAAAATGGATAAAAGAGCTATAAAAGAGCTCATCTCTATAATAACAAGTTAGCTATAGGAACTACTGTAGCCACTAGGCCCAGTAGTTCTTGAGAACTTATTTTCCACAAACCATTTAATTCTACATAAGTGGCTAGATAAGACTGTTTGGTGTGTGAGTTGTTAAAAAAAAAGTGCCTTAGTGTCCTACCAGTGACGATATACAGCTATATCGCATTGCTACGACTTTGATATTGAGTTTATACAACAGTTTGACGGCACAATTGTGTATATATAAAAAAGAAGATCAAACACGGAGGGTCTAAAAATCCTTTTGTATGAGGAACTACTTTCTTCCATCATTCCTTCACATCTGCTGTGGACGTCAGTACAGCAGAAACCGCTGCTAATTTACAAACGTCACTCAAAGCTGATTTAGAGTTATTTGAATGATTCTCTAGCGTAATATCTAAAGTGATGACAAAACAGGAGATTTTGCGGGCTGATTTTTATAAGGCTGAGCAGCATTAAATGCCATCAGTCTAGAGACATTTCCCAGTATTTCTCTTTTGAAATCAGGATATTACAATAATTAACACCCGATAAAGCCAAAGCAATGCAAACACTACAAAATTACTGTTGTGTGTGCAATATAAAAAAACGCTAAACACATGCGGACATTTCTTCCTTCTTTCTTTTTACTAATCTAGTCGGAAGTAAAGGAAACAGGAGACTCATTAGAAACAAACAGTGTAACTCAGGGTTATACAAAGAGTGGCCAACACAAAATACATGCATTCCTGTTACGCGAGTCCCATCTCACACTCAATACACTGCAATTGCTATGGTTAAATACAGCACTGCAACATAAAAAAGAGAGATCAACATGTCACTCACCAATTTTAAGTTTTGATCAACTGTAGTTTGAAAATACGCCAATCTTTTCTCCTCCAAGGACTTGTAATGCAGTCTCTGTTGCCATCTTGTACATAGACAACGTCCAACCTTTTTGCTCTACTCAATGACAAGCTAATGGATGCCAATGCGCTGTCTCTTAGAAATTCTAAATATTTTTAAAAAGCCACTGTCCTTTTAAATAAACTGCATAGTTGCAATCTAAACATATACATTCTCTCCTAAAAAAGCCTCAAAAGTACATTATGTTGTCCAACAGCTGCAATATTTGTCAAATTGTAGTGGAGTAATACACAAGGCTAAGGAGACTGTATGAGTTCTGATATTGCAGAATATTGCACAGCTATCAGCCAATCAGAATCGAGAACCAGACAGAATTGTTGTATGTATATATATATATAAATATATATATATATATATAAATTATATATATATATATATATATATATATATATATAGAGAGAGAGAGAGAGAGAGAGAGAGAGAGAGAGACAGACAGACAGACAGACAGACAGACCTATATTTAAAAGTGGCGATCCACACTCTTCAAGTAATTACAGACCTATCAGTATTTTACCTATAGTTTTAAAGATTGCAGAAAAACTGATAGCCACACAAATTACAAATTACTTAAATAATAGTTCTTTTGCTTTACATCCATTGCAGTTCGGCTTCAGAGCGAACTACTCAAGTGAGATGGCAAATTGCTACTTTACTGAAAAAGTAAAGTCTTTATTAGATAAGGGGGGTATCGTTGGGGCTGTGTTTCTTGATTTTAGGAAGGCTTTTGATACTGTAAATCATAGAATTCTCATGTCCAAATTAGTTGGTTTTAACTTCTCACCACAAACTTTAAAATGGATAGAATCTTACTTGTCTGGTCGCACACAGTGTGTTAATATACAAAATTACAAATCTGCCCCTCTAGGTATATCCACAGGTGTTCCACAAGGATCTATTTTGGGCCCTTTACTTTTTACTTTATATATCAATGATCTCCCATCTATGTGTCCTAACAATAACATACAAATGTATGCGGATGACACTGTTATATTTATTCATGGTAGTAGTGTGTTACAAGTTGCAGACAGACTCACAGAATCACTGGTACATCTTTCAGCCTGGTTAGATCAATGCTGTTTACAGTTGAACATCTCTAAAACCGTGTGTATGTTTTTTTCTAAGAATGGTAGGCTAAGTGTAGTACCAGATGTATTTGTATCAGGGGAAAGATTACAAGTTGTATCTGAGTACAAGTACCTTGGAGTTTTAATAGATTCAAAACTATCATTTCAGTCTCAGGTTAAAAAGGTTTGTAACCGGGTCAGATTCAGTTTAGCAAATTTTAGATTTATTCGTGATCAGATGTCATGTGAGGCTGCTCTAATCTATTATCACTCCATGATCATTTCTCACATCACTTATTGTTTTACCACTTGGTCCCAAGCCAGCATCACTACTCTGAAGCCACTTAAATCTTTATACAAGCAATCCATAAAAACCCTTGATAAGAAATCAGTTCAATATCACCATTGTTTAATATTAAAGAAATACAACCTGCTTAGTTGGGAAAATTTAATTACATATGTACATATCTGTTTAATGTTTAAGACTTTACATAACCCGACTTCACCATTAAATCAGTTTATAAATATTAGAACGACTGCTCACCGAACTACTAGAGGAGGTGACAGAGGAGACTGCATTATTCCTCTCAAAAAAAGCAAATTCAGTCAATCTGTATTTTCAGTGAGAGCTGCTAGGGAATGGAACTCCATCCCACGCACAATTAGAAGATCATGCACTTTTCGTTCTTTTCAGTCTCATGTTAGAAATTGGTTATTGACAAATCAGCATTGTCAGCATTAGTACTGTATTCTTGACACATTTGTACTGTTGTCTTTGGCTTTTTGTCCTCTGCTCCCATCAGTCTGTTCTTTTTTTTCTTTTTTTCTTTTCTTTACTTTTTTAACTGTATTTCTTATGAAAGTGTATTTAATGTTTAATGTTGTGCTTCTATTTTAGGTGTGACTTTTTAACATTCTGTAAAGGGTCTACGGATGAAAAATAGCCATTCTTGGCTAATTCTGGCACATTTTACAGTAATGTTTATTAATGTGCATTGACCCTGTAAACAAATAAACTAAACTAAACTAAACTAAACTAAACAGACAGACAGACAGACAGACAGACAGACAGACAGACAGACAGACAGACAGACAGACAGACAGACAGACAGACAGACAGACAGACAGACAGACAGACAGACAGACAGACAGACAGACAGACAGACAGACAGACAGATAGATAGATAGATAGATAGATAGATAGATAGATAGATAGATAGATAGATAGATAGATTTATGTTTTAACTAAACTGTACTGAACCATATTGTGTAAAGGAGGCATTAATTTGAAAGCCCACATTATAAACCCCCATAAGAAAATCTAAAAGTAGCTCATCACTGATTGTCTTCTCGGTACTGACTTCATTCCTGCACCGCTCTATCATAAAGTCAATCACAACTGTTATTGGCTTTTGAAATTGAATTGGCTGTTAATTGGCCTTTATGCTGAGTTGTCTAATTTATATTTGTAGCAACCAAAGTAAAAAGGGGGGGGGAGTAGGGACATCTGCACTCAAATGGGGCATGACATGGGCCACATTCATGGAATGGATCCTACAGTAAGCATGAAACACATCTATTACTGGCACAGGAGATACATTTACAGTATAAGACTTGTAATATTCATAGTCTTTACCAATAAGGTAAAAGACTACCTTAGTTCGCAAGAAATTAGTTCTCAAGAACTACCGGACAATCCACCTTTTAAAGTTCTTGTATATACGATTTTTGTTCATATACAGCCAATGCATACTGGTGACCTTTATGCTGCTCTTTCAACGAGGGATATAGAGAGTGAAAGAGTGTACCGTACCCACCTGGAGAATGAGAAGGGGGGGCACACATTAGCACAACCCCCTGGCCTTCCCTCACCGAAACAGCTCCTCTAGTCTTACCGCTGAACGGGCCGAGATCTGAAAACAAACACACATACACATGGTTTAAGCCAGTGACACACGGTGGCACAGAGGCAGCTGTTAACCTGCAGATTAAGGGTCAGAGATTGCATATGAGCGCCTGGAAATCAGTCAAACGCTTGCAGCTTGGTGTGATTTAGTATCCGGTGTCACCCCGGCGTGAGCTTTCCCTTTGACCTGCTCTATGACCAAAACCTGCAGCTTAAATCCCACTTCCTGTTTCCCTCTGGACACGATGGCCAAATGGTAATTAAAACTGGTAACCTTGCTCGAAGCTTTCAATCTTGTGAGTATATTTCATAATACCGAAGAGACTCGGAAAATGATTTTACTCCACAAAGAGCCAAGGATTGTGGGTGATCATTACAGTTTCAAGCCATGTCCGAGGACGAGCGTCGGGTGGTATTTTTAAAATGTAATTTGAGTTGGAATGTAGAGGTGAAGGTTTGCTCTGGAAATCACACAGCACGGGGACGGTTTCATCAGGAGTCGACAGGTGGAGCTACTACAGTTAATCTGTTGAAACAAATTGCATTTGCATGAATTAACATAATTAATCTGTAAACTCTCAGCACAACACCGTATGATTGGCTGGCTGCCCCTCGCAGTGAGAATCAGTGTGGAGGATGTAGCGTTACCACATCCCAGCAAAGTAATTACAGATTTTGATGGAAGAATAACATTATCGTTGTTCAGAGATTGCTCATACTGGAGAACTTTTTTTTAGTTTTGAACCATACTCCTATATACTACTTTATATATTCTATTTGATGACTCTTTACTTGAAGGGGTGTTCATAAGACTGTCATCAAACCTTAATAATCATGACATGACACGATCATGTTTATGACAAGTTATGTTGTCTTATGTCTTACATAATGTCAAGTGGTTATGAAAAAGTTGAAGACTGGTTGTGATGTATTTGTTTATGCCAAGTTGCCATGACAAACAATGTCATCTTTGCATTTAAAAAGACATAACTTACAGCAGGGATGCTCAACCCTGTTCCTGGAGATTGACCTACCTGCAGATTTCAGTTGCAACCCAAATCAAACACACCTGCCTGTAATTATCAAGTGCTGTTCAGGTCCTAATTAATTGGTTCAGCTGTGTTTTTTCAGGGTTGAAGCTGAAATCTGCCGGAAGGTCGATCGCCAGGAACAGGGTTGAGCAGCCATGACTTACAGTGTATTCGGAAAGTACTCAAAGCACATCATTTTTTTCCCACATCTTTTAATGTTACAGCTTTATTCCTAAATGGATTAAATTAATGTATTTGCTCAAAATTGTACAATACCCCATAATGACAATGTGCAAAAATCTTTTTTGAAATTGTTGCAAATTTATTAAAAATTAAAAAGCTGATTTTTTTTTTTTTTTACATTCTGTTTCCACTGATCATTCTTGAGATGTTTCAGCAGCTTAATTGGAGTTCACTTTTGGTAAATTTAGTTGATTGGACATGATTTGAAAAGCCATACACCTGTCTATATAAGGTCGCAGGGTTGACAGTGCACACGGCTGGGGAAGGTTACGGAAACATTTCTGCTGCTCTGAAAGTTCCAATGAGCACAGTGGCCTCCATCATCCGTAAGTGGAAGATGTTTGGAACCACCAGGACTCTTCCTAGAGCTGGCCGGCCGTCTAAGCTGAGTGATCAGGGGAGAAGGGCCTTACTCAGGGCGGTGATTGAAAACCCGATGGTCACTCTGTCTGAGCTCCAGCGTTCTTCTGAGGAGAACCTTACAGAAGGAAAACCATCAGTATAGCAATCTACCAATCAGGCCTGTATGGTACAGTGGCCAGAAGGAGGCCGCTCTATGCCTGGAATTTTCCAAAAGGCAACTGAAACAAAATTCTCAGGACAATGAGACTAAAAATGAACTCTTTGGAGTGAATGCCAGATGTTGCGCTAGGAGAAAACCAGGCACCGCTCATCACCAGTTTAATACCATCTCTACCCAGCCCCTGGCAGCATCATTCTGTGGGGATGTTTTTCAGCAGCAGAAACTGGAAAACTAGTCAGAATAGAGAAAAAAGATGAATGCAGCAATGTACAGAGAAATCCTAAATGAAAACCTGGGACGACGGTTTATCTTCCAGCAGAACAATGACCCAAAGCACACGGCCAAAGTATCAACGTCTTCACAACAATTTGGCAAATTTCCTTGAGTGGCTCAGCCAGAGCCCAGACCTAAATCCTAATCAACATCTCTGGAGAGGTCTTAAAATGGCTGTACACTGTCACTTCCCATACAACCTGATAGAGCATGAGAGGTACGGCCAGGAATGGGCAAAAATTCCCAAACACAGGTGTGCCAAGCTTGTAGCATCATATTTAAAAAGACTTGAGACTGTAATTGCTGCCAAAGGTACATCAACAAAGTATTGAGCAAAGGGTGTGAAAACTTATGTACATGTGATTTTTCAGGTTTATTATTTTAAATAAATTAGTAACAATTTCAAAAACTCTTTTTTTCACATTGTCATGATGGTGTATTGTTTGTAGAATTTTAAGGTAATAAAGTAATTTAATCCATTTAGGAATAAGGCTGTAACATAAAAAAATAAATAAATAAAAAAAGTGGAAAAAGTGAAGCGCTATGAATACTTTCCGGGTACACTGTAATAACAGTTGTCATAAGCATGAATGAAATCTCATGTGCCATGTCATGATTATAAAGGTTTTATGACAGGCTTATGGACACTCCTTCCAGTAAAGTGTTACCTTAAAGTTTTTTTTTACAACTCTTTATTAATGAATGCTACTGTAATATCAAATGTAATGAACTGATAGACTGTAATAAATGCTGTAGTATACTTTTTAGTACTGTAATCTCTGGTGTATTGTAGTAAATGTTCAGGCCCGTGCAGAGACCGTCCAAAGGGCATGTGCAGGATAAATTATTTGAAGAGCGATGTTGTCGCGCGTTCTGATCAGCTGTGTTGTCGCGCGCGTAGTCAAGGGCGGTGTTGTCGCGCGCCTACTGAAGAGCGGGGCCGAGGGTGTGCCGCGTCGCGGGGCCACTTTTCATCATTTTGGAAGGGCACATTCTATCCAAGACTAAAAAGGGCATGTGCACTGCACAGGTTGAGCCCTATGTGTGCACGTGCCTGTATATGTTATATAATTGTAGAAAACTTGGTATTGTATTTATTTTTTTTTTTTTACAAAATTGGTCAACATTAGAAGTTACTAAAAACTAAACAAACTTTAGACAACAAGATTTTTTTACAGTGTACAGTATATGGAGAAAAAAAAAGCTCAAAACTAACTTGATAGCACAACATTCTAATAAAGTATACAATCAGTGTGTCAACCGCTAGCATAAATGCACACTTCAAGAGAAACAAGATTAATTTACATGCACATAGTGCAGAAAGTCTTCCTTCAGATTTACATACAGCATGAGCATTCAAGGACACTTTTTTTTCAGCCCCAGGGCTCCTAGACATGCAGCAATTCAACTCTTAATTTTTTAGATTACAGTGTTTTAAAGGTCATTGTGGCTCGGTCTGCGCTTACATTTCTAAACTTGCACTCTCCAAAGCTCTCTGTAACAAGGTGCAAATGGAAATGGAATGTTTGCAGTATTTTACGAAGGTCAGCGAATCAATAAGTGTCTCAGTTAAGCATCGTCGTGCTGACATATCAACAAATATAACGGGACAACCTGAGTTTGCCTGTAATGACACTTCATTCGGCGTAGCAGATGCAATCACGCAAGAATGTTTTCAAGACTATTCAGAAGAAAGCAAGAGATAAACATTACTTTCTAATAAGCACATGTATAATATGCTTAATGATTGTATTTTCATACTTTGTTAATGGCATTTTTCATTACTAAATAAATTATTGCAGTATTTACAAACCAGTTATTTAAAAGTGTTTTTTATTTTTATTTTAATTTTTTTAGGATCATTCAGAATATTTAAATGAATAATAAACAATTCAAATAAACAGTTTTATATCTTATTATTCGTCATATAGTAATATATTAATAAATACATTGTAATCAACCAGCCTGATCTCTCAAAAAAACGTGAGTGTTTAACGTTTTGTCAGTTTAGTGGCTAATTCGTACGAATTCCTATGAGTTTAGTATTACGAAAATGTATCATTTTAAATGTATAATTAATTTATGAAAATGTAAAAAGAGGCGTGGCACCCAACCCCACCCCTAACCCCAACCCTCATTGGGTGATGATGAGCAAATCGTACTTAATTGTATGAATTAGATCGTACGAATTCATACGAATTAGCCACTAAAAAAAGTTACTAATTTAAATTCTAAATAACAATTAAAATAAGTTTAGAAATGAGTTTAAAAGTTTAGTTTGTTTAGTTTGTTGACATGTGTTCTTTGTACATTGGTTGTAAATGTAAACGTTACAATATATAGTAAATACATAAATGGCACTAACTTTTTTAATTTTTATTTTTATGTATTTTTGATTTAATATTATTTTTTTATTGTATATGTAACAATCACCAGCGATCTAGGGACTGTAGATCGCTGGTAAACTACACAACCATGACATAAACTACCACTTCCAGAATGCATTGCATCAATCAACACCGCTCCAGCTGACCATCTTCCAGACACTCACACAAACTATATATTTAAGTTTGTGTTCCCTCTCGTTGTGTTTTTTTTTTTTTTTCAGTTTTGTCTTGTCTTGTTTTGTTTTATTTTTTCACTTTGAGACTTCTTAAAGATGCCAGAGTTGTGTGACTTCCCAGAGGCGTCAAAGTTGTGTGACTACCCAGAGCCACGTGAGCCTAGCAATCGGCCACATGCCTGAGCTTTTCGATTGGCCACCTGAGCCTCCCGATCGCCCGCCCCACCATCTGAGCTTCCCGATCAGCCACTGCCTCTTGAATACTCCAAATGGTGGCACCAGATCCTCCTGTATTACCCAAATAGCAAGAACCAGATCCTCTTGAATTCTCCAAACGGCGGGTGCCAGATCCTCTAGAATTCTCCAAATGGCAG